AACGTCGAATTTGCGCTCAAACTCAGGATTTACAGATCTTTAAAAAGTTTAATATGTCTCAAATGAATCCGAAAGAAGTTTTCCACAACACTGCATACTCAGTTCAACTACCTTACATAGCCGGTCACCCCCTTTAAGACAGCCGTCTTTCTCTTCCACAGTTTTATGGGTCTCACTGTAATAATCATGATGAATGCAGGATTACCTAGAAAAGTTAAGACTTAAAATATTATTGGACTAGAATTGATCGGTCTTATTTCTTATCTGGAACATTATACGCTGACGCGGCAGTGCACACTTTTTTTCTTTGCAAAATCATATACAGAAACTACTGTATATGAAACAAACAAAAAATGCTTTTATTTCTTCAATTCCTGAATTAGATTAAATTATGGAGACAGATTTACAGTGGCGTACGAGGGGGGGGCCGCGCCCTCCCCCGCCCCCTCTACGCGTGCCCCCCCTGAGAGGAGCTGAGGGGGGGCACCCATGGGGGAGGCTCTTTACATTTGCTTGCATTTCCGTTCCTCAGGCCAGGCACAGTGGCGTACCTAGGGGGGCAGTAGTCCTCTTGCCCCCCTCTGGGAGTTCCAGGCGGGGCACTGCCCCCTCCCCCTGGAAAATACAAAATTAAAAGGAAACTACGTTTAAAAAGTAACACCTTACAATGACAAAGACTAAGGATTTGTCTGAATTCACTGTTAATACAAGGAAAGAAAAGTTTTAGCCTTCTAAAGAGAATACTTCATTACATAAGATGTACTATGACGGAGAGCAGACTTAACGATCTTGCACTAATAGCTTTACACCCTATAAGGCTGTCTGAGCTCTCTACTGAAAAAATCATTGAAATGTTTGTGCAAGCAAATCAATGAAAATTGTAGCTTAAAAGAGTTGGTGAATATGAGATTGAGTAAATTCCATAGATGAATAAATAAACATAGATAGCTTATGTATGTAAAATCACCAAGAATTGTACAGTCCGCGAACTCATACTTCTAGGGTTCAAAGTGTACTTCAATGATAAGCGGGTGGTTTGGTGTTTTAATGGATTTCATAGAGTGTAAAATAACTCCGGAAATGGAACTATTTGAACAACAATATTTCACTGAGCAATATATCATATTAATGAGAACTGAAGAAGGACATGAGAAGGACTAAACTAACTTATAAAACAAAACAAAAATAATTCGGGGATTTTCACAAAAAATTTCGTGGATTTTCAAATTTTTCAAAAATTTAATGAAGATCGAATTTTGATGGAGACAAATATTTGAAATTTTGATCATTCATAAACCGTCCCTGTGGTCACGTGATGTCCCGCAAAAAATTTGGGCCCGAACGGTTCAGCCGTTTATTGGATACAAACATACAGACAAACAAACAAACAAACAAACAGACAGACAAGCCAAATTTATATAATAAACATTCATATCTAATTTATACTTGATTAGACAAAGGATTCAATTGTGCAAGCCGTTGTGAAAGTATTGCCAACTTTGCCAGGAGGGTCTGTTCAAATTACACTTAAAGTTCTTTTAATACAAATAATTTGTTAAGAAAAGAATTATTGTCTCATTGTTTGTCGGTAATCCTGAAAGTCTCTGTGAACAGTTTTGCTTTTAAGAAATATGTTTTGATACTCTGTGTTCTCCAATAACTAAAATCTAAATAGATTCTGCTTTCTCCTTCCTTATTACGCAATCGGCTTTCATTCAAGTCAAAGATTCACTAATTCATTTATGGTGCTTCACACCCCCCTCTTCACGCTAAAGGTGCTCTGGAGTTTGATCTAAAAGAATTCAACCTACGTGGACTCTGATCTGAGCTTAGTAATTTAAGTAGAATTCTTTCCAGCTAACATCAACCAAGGAGTATGAAATAGAACGGAGATACTACTTACGCGGCCCACCCTACCATATGATTATCCATGCTTTGCAGACGGTACTCCATTTGTATGAGAAATATTCAGAATAGGTTATTGTATACGCGGTAACTGTTCATCAGACACGTATTTCTTACTTAAATGGAGTACCGTCTGCAAAGCATGGATAATCATATGGTAGGGCGGGCCGCGTCAGTTATATCTCCCTTCTATTCATACTCCTTGGCCTCAACTGTAACCTTTACTCTTTTCAAATATACCCTAAAACCTACTCATCTTCACCCCGAGACCCACAAATAAATGTTAATTAAAAAAGTAAGTAAATTTATATCAAAAATGTAAAATACGGCGTGCAGGTGAAATTTGACTAGACCTTATCATGTTATATACAGGGTTGTACCCAAAAAATGAGATTTCATAAACAATTGTATGGATCGTTGCCAACACGTAAACTTGTTTCTTTTAATGAAAAATTATTTAATGTATCAATCATATCGAATTTAGCTAGTCAGTTGTAAGCCCATTTTAATTTTTAATGCTTAAGTCTCATCCTTTGTGAGTAACCCTGTGCAACAGTCCCAAACTCCAATACAATAAAAATATAATTCATTTTAAATTTATTAAGAATAGAAAATGAGTTAGCATATACAACAATGGTAGCACAAAGACATTTGAGCCGAGAACAAGATCAAGATCAACCCGCCATTTTAAATCCGCCATTATTCGCTAATAATAGTTGGCGGCATAAGCGCATATTTTTTTCTTGAAATTGCCTGAGTTCTTCAGCTCAATTTCATGTCATATAATTTAGGCAACTAATGGTAGAAAAATATATAAATATTAAATAAATTAAAAAATATGGCAGGGCTGGGACTAGAGAGGGGAGAAACTAGAAATGTTAGAAGCCAAATATCAAGATTTTACATATTTTACAATTTACAAAACTAAGCTCGAAAACTTGACAAGTTAAAACGAAAATTTCTTTCCAAATAAAAAAAACAAGAAAAAACTGTGCACTAAAAATTTAGATAATGGTTGGGACAATCTAACACAGAATTATTAAAAATAGGTTTAATTAATCTGGTATAGAAAACAATACAGCACATAGGTATCAAATCAAGACTGAAGAACACTTACAATTTAAGTTCATGTACAATATGTACCTTGTACACTGTACATACACTATTCACAGTTTAGAAGATACAAGAAAATACATAAATAATGTAGATAACAAACTTCATAAGTAATTACGGTACATTTTTATATCAGAAATTTTACAATATTTATTCAGCAACAATTCGTGGTTGTTAAAATATGCTGAATGCTGATCCCAATTATCAAGGAAGTTCATTAGCAAGCGGGGGGGGGGGGGGGGGGGGGGGGGGGGGGGGGGGGGGGGGGTGAAGGGAAGGATCTGGAATTTTCTTACGGTTTGATTAAACAATTATTTTAGTTATTATGAATTTTAAACATTGAAATTACATAAATGCCGGTATGAGCAGTAAGCTATAATATTGAAGCTAATAAATATAAATTTGAGCGATATGGATTAAATTTGGCCAAATGTTGGTTCACCGCGTACATTTACGCGATAGCATATTTTATGGGTGTATATATACAAAATTAAAATATCAAAAAGTACAGTTAAGTTTTCTATAAAATATATACGCCTGAAATACAGTTAATAAATATTTAAGCATAATTAAGTGATAAGAGAGAAAGGTCAAAGATTCTTTGAAGGTAAAAATATCTTTAAACGAGATATAAACATCCCTTGACCAGGGATGGGAGTAAGATAAAAATATCTAATCTGAGATCTATTCATATACACAGCTGGGGTTTAGGCTTTACTTTCATGCAAATCTTTGCATTGCAGTATTCAAGAGAGTACAGTGAAGTGCGGTGCTTTGTTCATTGTTAGAAGTAGATTATCAGATCGTTATTAACTCAGTCTTTGCTCACATTTTTCCACAACGCAGGCGACATTTTGTTTAATTTAAAGATGCACGCCGACATTTTTTTCTTTTATACTAGGCGCAGACAGTTTGTTTTGATTAAAGCTGGGCTTTTTGTTTTATCTATGCTGAGGGCTAAAAACTTGTTCCATTATAAACTGGAGCCGACATCTTGTTTAATTTAAGATTGGAACCGACATTTTGTTTTCAGCCGAATTCTTGCATCTTGGCGCTAAATGTTCAGAGAGTTGTAGGAATTTTTTCCTCTAATTAGTATCTACCTATCACAGAACGGGTAGACTCTAGGGTTAGGTCGGGTTAAGATTTAGAGATAAACTTTCTTATTAGATCTCGTGGTTCCATATGCACTATCCACCACCTGGCCTGGATCCTGCACTAGCTTGTTTACCCGGGAGCCCAGGGTACCCATGTGGTAGACAGAGGAGGGCGGGCCCCGGGATCCAGCAACGCCTCCTCGCTCATAGTGGTTCACAAGAGCGTCACGGTCTTCAGAGAGTACACCACGCCCCACACCGTAGTGACCTTAATAACATTTGTTTCAGCCCAAAAATTTACTTTTTAAATTTATAACATTTTTTATTTTTCAAGGGACGCAAGTTCAAAACCTGGATCTCGGTTTGGAGCTTACTTCCTCTGTATCTACCTCCACGTTTGTGTATGTTTGATATGGTATTGAACTTGTTGTTCTGATTGTAGAATGGAGGTTGACCGATACCCTGACCAACCATGCCGGAGCTGGGGTAGGGTTTGTGCGCGAGTGTTGTTCCTGAAACATTAATATTATTTATAAGAATTCAGTTACAATGGTCAGGGTTTTTATCAATACAATGAAGACGACTTTCCTATTTCCGTTTTGATTTCTGAAAAGCTTTTTTTTAACGTTAATGGACAGCTTCTTAATCCATTTTCATTTGTATCCAAGCTGTTTAAGCCGGTGGAAATAGAAATTTATCATCATTGTATTGATATATACCATAACGACTATACAATATTAAATTCTTAGTTCTTTTCACGTTTGATACTCATATGCTAAGCTTAGCATAACTTTTAACAGCGAGAGGAACCATTATTGCGCATAATGTATAATTCTAAAACTTTTATAAAGAAGTTTCTTCATATTTGGTCTTCGTATGACTGATAACTGCATTTAAACAACAAGTAAGATTTCTTAACGAAATTTTCCAAGTTTTTAGCTCGAAAGCTAAGAATTGCATCTTAGGAGGTAAGGTCTCAAGGCTTAGAAAAACAAGCAAAAATACTTCTGTATACGGAAAATCAAAGTTCACATCTAAATAACCCGGATTAGCTGAAAAAATCATGGTTAAAACCTTCAGGTGGAAGCCTTGTGGTTTCTTGTAGCAGTCTTGAGTTTGAGGTTTCTGGTGGCCGTCTTGTGGTTTCTGGTAGCAGTCTTGAGTTTGAGGTTTCTGGTGGGCGTCTTGTGGTTTCTGGTGGCAGTCTTATGGCTTCTGGTAGTAGTCTTGAGCTTGAGGTTTCTGGTGGTTTCTGGTAGCTGTCTTGAGCTTGAGGTTTCTGGTGGCCGTCTTGTGGTTTCTGGTAGCAGTCTTGAGCTTGAGGTTTCTGGCGGCAGTCTTGTGGTTTCTGGTAGCAGTCTTGAGCTTGAGGTTTCTGGTGGCAGTCTTGTGGTTTCTGGTAGCAGTCTTGATCTTGAGGTTCCCGGTAGCAGTCTTGAGCTTGAGGTTTCTGGTTGCAGTCCCGGTTGCCGTCTTGGTGGCAGTCCAGGTGGCAGTCCTGGTGGCAATTCTAGTGGTAATCATGATGACAATCCAGGTGCTTCTTATGTTAGATTGGCTAGTGAACTTTTGAAGATTCAAAGAAATCTAGCATTGTTCGAACTACAAATTTGAATCTCCATCATGTTGAAGAATTTCATGAGGAAAAACTGTGAATAACCATGCTTTTGTTTTTGAAAATGTTTTTTTTTTTTAACTTTAGAAACAATTGAGAAATTATCACAATTAAACTATTTTTAAATCAGAAGAACGACGTGTTCTCCCACATTATTGATGAGATTTAGGTATAAAGGGTATTATTGTAAACCGGACATGCCCCTCTTTGAATGAAGGGTCCCTTAAAAAAGTGAATAAATTACCTAATGGATTAAGTGGTTTATTGACTAGAATAGGTTCAGCATACACCGTCTCTTCTACTGCTGGTTTATTATAATCATTCTAAACATATATATTATAAATTATATTTAAATATAAACATCATCTTCAAAATTATGTAATTAAAATTTTTCCTATTTTTCTACCCCTTTATCAATACTTTTAGCATGATCCATTCCCTTTTCAAATAATTTACAATTATATTTTAGGGCATCAGAATTTCTAAGGTTACAGGAATAGCTAGAAATGGTTTAACAAAGCGTGGCTCTTTAAACTGCCTTTCTAGTGCACACAAGGCGAATTTAGAGAAGAAGTTCAACAAGTTTAACTACTAATCGCTATCCATTAATTACGACCTCGTAACTATAATCAACATTTACGTAAATTTATTCATAAATTATTCATATCGGATTCTTAACTATTTTATTTTACTAGATTTCCAAGAGATAACAATAATGCCACAATATTCCTCTTTTTCTCCATAAATATTGTATTGTATACAATTTGATGTTTAATATTATTTATATTTTATATGAATCTATGGAATATTTGATGTTTAATATTATTTATATTTATATGAATCTATGGAATATTTATTTGTTTTCTTCACAAATTGCTTCAGCCTGCTTCTTGAGAGAAAGGGGTTTCTTTGCCTCAGTTTATTTCCCTATGATTATTGATTCTCCAAACTTTTGTAAAACTTACAAACATGTCTGTCAATAAAATTGTATTCCTAAATTTATAATTTTTATTTTTCATTTACAAGAGATAATTCTAATATAATCAATTGTGTTAATATTAATTGCTTTTTTTCAAGATCCCCCCCCCCACACTTATATTTCCTAGTGGGTTTCCAAGAGTATATCAGACTGGAATATTAATATTAAATAAACTAGAGAACAAAACCGGACAAAATAGAAGATAGTAAAGGTTGTATAGAAAAGTTCTTGATTTAGACAGAAACCTCTCTAAAGTGTTTCAAGCTTTTTCACGGTTTTAGACAAATATCTTTAAAGGCGCAACTAAATGAGAGACTTCTCTGACTAAGCTTGATCCACCAAATTATCGCAAATTTTTAATTGAAAAATTCTTCCATTAAAATAAACGGGGAGAAGACTCTAGTTTTTCTCTCTTTCTAATAAAGGGGTATATTTTTTAGGGGTGGGGAGGGGGTGATTTTTATCAAAGATTGGAGAACAGAGAAGCTACGGCTATAAACGATATTTTTGGATGTAAAAAAATAAACAAAACAAAATATCTCTCCCAATGGTAAAATGTTTCTATCACTTTTCCTCAAAATCAGCAAACTACTTTGATCAAATCGAATTAATTAAAAAAATGTGAGGATTGTACAGCATAATCTTTTCATTGCTAATACCTTTTTAAACAGGTTCCAGCAAATTACCAAATTTTAGCAATAGCATATTATGCCACAGTTACAATTTGCTAACCAAATTTTAAAAAGTAAACTAAGGGCGCTTCCCCTATAGACTTTGATTCGAAGATTGGGGATTAAAAAAATGAAGATTTGTAGGTTTAAAGACTAACCTGGCGTAGAAGGGGTTGAAGAGAAGGTTGGGGAGGAAGTTGTCGAGAAGGAAGTTGACGCTGTTCAAAGTATTCATATTCTGCATCTTGATATGGTACATTACTCTCATCCTTACCACATTTCCGCCCACAGCAGTATCCTGTACAGTGTACATAGATGCAGATACAGATACAGATAGTTAGATAGATAGAGTTCAGCTATTAAGATATAATATAAAAATATTGTAATACAGATAGATAGGTAAAAAGATAGATAAAAGAAAGAAGGATAGAAGTTAAATTCAATAAAATTAAAAGTTAACAACAATTAAAAATGCTAAGCCTAGAAGTTAACTCCATCTAACAATGCTTCTAAATAACTAATCCAACCGGAGTTAATCTCATTTAAAACTTCTCAACATAAGGAAATTGATAAAATGAAAAACTAAAAATAAAAATGTCAAGTTAAATATTCTCAATTTTTTAAATGTTAAGGTTTACAAAAAAATAAGAGGATTTCATGTATTGTGTGTCATGCAAGGAACTCTAGTCATTTTAAACCAACAAAAGCCTGGCATTTCCTGTAACTGTTTAAAGTAAATACGCATTTGTATATTTCGTTTTCAATTCAAAGTTGTTGGATTAAAAAATAAATACACACAATATTTTATCGATATGTAACAGAGGTCAGATTTAATGAAAAGCTAAAAGTAGTTGAACTGGTTAGGCTTGTTAAACTCTTCTCGACTCCGATCCACATTGGAGACGTAGTTCAACTACTTGTGCCCAGTTCAACTACGTTTTGCTTCATTTTTTCTGATCTCAGATTAATACAATTTTACCCCCCCCCCTTCACNTATAATATCAGGGTCTCCAGGGTGTACAGGGCAGGTGCAACCTAGATAAGCATCAGGATCGTTGTCATTTTTCCATTTTTTAGAAATAGGTTTTGAAATCTAGAAAGTTTTATTATTTTTTTTAAATTTAATTAGCGATCCAAAACGACTAGCAAAAATAACCCCAAGCAATCTTTGGGATAAGCCGCAGGTAGCTGCACAAGCATCCCGGGAATTCAAGATGAAAAGTGATAATTGAACTGATGATTGGCTGCAACAAGATGAGCTTAAATTAATAAAATCAAGCATTAAAAGTTCATGATTTACGATACTCCGCACTCAAGTTCCGACCTCGGGTAACTAGGAAAATCCGCAAAATTATCTTTCATGTTACTTTTTTATAACAGAAAATTCTTGCGAGTAAAGCAACTATATAAAAGCTAAAATTGTTTCAAGTTAGATGGACGCGAAATGCACTCGCTAGAAACTAGCAAAAATTTGAAAACGTAAAAAATGAGAATTGAATCTAACCTTTCTTTCCGGAGCAATGTCTCGTCTTCCTCCGTCTCTGCCTGTAGGAGTAGGTTTATCCAACCTTGTATCTTCAATAGAGTTGATCACGGTACCTGATACAAACAAGAATTCAATTTGACAGTTTTCCCACGAAACATAACGATAGAAATACGACTTGAAAGTCATCATTGATTTTTGAAATAGTTTGCGGCATTTTATTTAGCAGAATTACCTGTTTGATATTTATTGTAAGGTTGTAGGGAGGGGGAGGTGGGGGCGGGGTCAGATCTTGGACAGAGGGCGTGTCTACCCTCCACCACACTCTGTAGGTAGGACTTGTGTGCTCCTTTTGACCAGCTCAGCGCACCCCGACAATTCTCTCCACGGACATCCCACGCACAGTAGGGATCCTAAAATATTGATAGAATGTCAACCGTATCATAAAACTAATATTGCGAGAAAAAATTTAAAAGTAACTCTAAGCTTCTAAACAAAATCTATGTAATAAAGCTCTTCGCTCACACAAACATATATATATATATATATGTATATGTTAGCTATATAGCTGGCCAAACGGCTAGACCAAATCGGTTAAATTTTATAGGAAACTCATGGGTATTGGGTAACCTTGGTCAGGCCAAAAAATCGAACTCATTTTCAATGTGTTGTTAAAATGACACGGGAAACACCGGGCAATTCAGCTAGTTTTTAATAACTTTGTTAGTTACAAGATCATTTTTATGCTAATTTTACATTACTTACTGTTATCTATGAAAGAAGTATAATACGTCCGTAATAATAACCTAGAAAGATAAGACGGAACGAACAGAGAACAGTGGGTCTTGTGAGTTGGATCTGCCAAGATGTTGTGTGCAGGGCTGATGCTTCTATTCAGTATATCTGGAAGCCTATCGCTCTGGAGCCCAGAGAAGAACTTGTTCATCCCCCATGTGGAGGTATACTGGGAGTCCTGGGAGGATTACCGAACCAACTATATGTCCAACATGTCCAATATTCCCATTACTCCTCTGGGATCATCACACGGGGTTAATGTGGTCAATGTAGCATTTGCAGACAATGCAAAACAGGAAACATGTGGAACTGAGTGTATTACCTCAGGTCTAAACATGAATCCTGACCATTTTGTAGCTGGTGTCAAGGAAATACAGGCTAAGGGAGGTTTTGTCAAGCTAGCGCTTGGTGGAGAAGTTTATGGAAACCCAGGCGATTATCTAACACTGGCCGAAATTCCTTATCTGACACAAAGAATACAAAGAGTTGTGGACAAATATGATCTTGATGGTGTTGACCTAGTTCATGTTAGGGCTCCAGGGTCTATCTCACAGATTCAGATAGATAGAGAGTCACTTGTTATTCAATCCCTTAGAGAACTGATGCCTTCGAAACTAATATCATTTACCTATCCTGGATATCCTACTGACGTCCCAACTAATGTAGATAAGATCCTTGAAAACACCCATATCTATCTGGATTACATAACTCCTCATGGAGCAAACCTTGAAGGGATTCTGGCACTGAAGGACCTAGGAGTTCCGAAAGAGAAGATAGTTTGGGGAATCTGGAACGTAAAAGACTGCTATCTTGAGAAATTAGTTGAATCTACAAAGTTTGTGAGGTCAGAGCTGTATGGAGGGGTCTCCTCATGGTCTATTAACAGTGACACTGCACAGAGGAACAACTACCCGTATGGAGAATGCAATGAGTATCAGACCGGACATGAAGATGGAACTTACTTTAATAATATTGCATTCCTACTTAATGGATAATCCAATAAAAAAAATGACCAAGGAATTTAATAATGGATATTTTTACTATTACTATTACTATCAGTGTTTCGGATCCATATCATTTTGATTCGGATCCGGATCCGAGGTAACTTTTGATTCTGTGAATCGGATTTTCCCTATTAAATGTTATGCAAGGTTATAATTTATAAACAATAGTGATCCTAAAGTTAAAAATGTCGTCATTACTATTATATAAATGTAAACATTAAATTATTAAAGATAATTTTGAAAAATTTTCGTCATGTAAATAATACATTTACGAACCATTTTGATTTATTTATTTAATAGTAGAACATAACCCTACTATTTCCTTTTCCCTTCTAACATTAAATATCCCTTTCAACATTCATAAAGTAAAATTATTTCCAAGTTGGTCTATTCACCCAACAATATTATTTACCTTCTCATAATATTTCTTGCGATTGATTAATTGTATAGTGTATACCAACCTCCACAAAAACATCTTTTCTTCACCATATCACAAGAAAAAGTGAAGTCTACCTATCACCTCAATACAAAGCCTGATCTAATTTTACCAAAACATTCAGGACTTCTGCCAAATTTACTTTACTTTTTAGATTTCCTTCCATTTCAGAAGATCATTTGCTAGGGTGTCACAAAAAAACCGGAAAAATATTTTAATTTAAGCTTTTATCCATCTCTATGATACCATATTTAGGAATATATTTCAAGAACCTCACAAAAGAAATGTAAGAAGAGAAAGGCAATACAGAGCTCTTCTTGTTTAAATACTTATTTCAGGCCAAGTGGATGAGTACATACAATTGAGAATTGAGGCTGAAATATTGCAAAGAGTTGCATTTTTAGTCAAGGGATTTTTTTGGAGGGCATCCTAATATTTTCTGTTTTACCACCACAAAACTTTTCATTTTCTGTCTAAGAAAGAGAAGAAAATTTTAGGAAAAATGCTTCCATAGATAGTGAGAAAAGACTGCAGTGTACACTTCTAATTTTAAATTTCTAATTATAAACTTCTAATTCTAATGAAATTTGAGAAATTATGAATTTCAATATGGTAAATTCATCATAAATAATACGAGTAACTAGGCGTTACCCGTGGAATTTAATTTTTTTTTAATTTTGAAAAAGAAATTCTATTTTTTTTGATTATGTTACCCTCGGGGTACTCAAGGGTTTCCTAAAAAATTCAGCCAATTTGGTTCAACTGTTTGGCCAGCTATAAATATATAAACACACACACACACACACACATATATATATTTATATATATATATAACCCATGTTTATTGACTGATGAGGATCGAGAGATCTGAAACAATTTGTATTAATAAATATGAAAACTGAGAAGCTGTTCTGATTATTGCTTTATATATATATATATATATATGAGCAAGGATATTTATTATATGGAAGGATTAAGAAGATTGACTGGCAGTGCTATTTCTTGATGATTACATAAAAAGTTTCTGATCATTATATTGCAAGGGTGGTACTGCGGCAAAGTTGTAGTTTTTGAGGCTAAAACAAAACAACCTAAGCTATCAAACTTTTTAAAGTTTAACACCACAGTTGATTAAAGAATGCTAGTAACACTTAATCTGATACACCACAGCCCATTTATGAATATGATCTACCTATCTATATTCTGGACCAACGTACATTTTCAAGTTATGTAATTTTGCGGACGGGCTTCACAGCTGTTATATATCCAAGTGGACCCTAGATTTTTTGAAAATTTCTTCAATCTCTGCATGGTGTACTTATAAACTAATTTTTCCTTTAAAAAAAAGTTAAACATGAAGTTTAAGGTCTCTAGTAAATGGCGGGCACTGGAGTTAGAAGAAATGAGATTCAGTAATTCATACCTTGTAAACATAACATTGCCTCCCAAAAGATAAGTAACTCAAATGCTGCTTGACTTGGAATTAAAAAAATTGTTCCTTGACAACTATACACTTACAAAAATCTAAGACAAATTGCAAGTCAAAGCCCACTCTCTGCTCAGCTGCATCACACCCATTAAGCCAATTAAATTGAAACTTGTAATACATCCATTCTATCATTATATCCATGTGAAATACCAACATTTTTTGCGCTTTCTTCTTCAGGATATTTTTCAATTTTCTGTTCCTTTCAAGCCCGATTGAATTTCTTGACATTTTCTTGCCAATTTAAAACTGTTACTCGGTCAATTTCAAAATTTTCATCCGATATTTGAAATAAAGTTTATTTGGATTCAAGTTTGACTTTTGTCACTTTGAAAATTGTCGGCCATTACTATAATTGCATCCAGTGTAGATTTAAATGCTCTGTCACTTCAACATTCAATATTTAAACATTCTACACTTTAAATACAAGGTCACCATTCATATATTTTCACAGATTATAATAAAATGAAAATGAGGGTTGTTCTGAAGAAGAAAAAAATGGCGTCAAGTTTTACCTGAAGCGCAACACACTCAGAACAAGACGCAGCTTTCTCGCATCTATAGAGAGGGAAGGATCTTATCTCTTCAGATGATACAACTATAACACTCCCAGAACCTGATCAAATAGAACTTAAATCAGTTGCGCAATGTATACATTATAAGCAAGAAAAAATGAAAGAAAAACACACATTGACTACTGGTAACTTATAAAGGATGAGTTGGGCAATATCCAACATTAGAAATTGCTAAGCTAAATTTGCAATGTTCAGAGTTAATATGTATTATACCACATTCTTATAGATTTACTACGTGGCCAAATCAGGAATAATTCTTGTTATTGTCACCCATTTTGTGTAATAATTATAATTATTCGTGTAAAGGTGGTATAATATTATTATGCGTAGGAAGAAAGTGTAATAATCAAAATTATTGTTATAATATTGAAAGAAAAACCGTGGAATAATTTTGATTATTCACCGAAAGGCGCATAATATACTAATATATTATGAATGAAGTAAGATATTTGCCTAAAGCTCAAATTTAATTTCAGAATTATTGACAAGTTTTGGTGCTTTGGCAACCATTGTAAAACAAAAAATAAATGTTTTAAACCGTTTATAATGATATAACAACATATTACTCTTGACTGTAACAAATAATAATATCAATACCTTTTTTATCATTGACAACTTGTATTTTTATGATTTTCCCTTCAACAGCCTCAATTTGCTCGATAAGTACTGGAGTAGGAGGAACCAAGCTTGGGTTTCCTAGTGTTCCAGAGACACTATTCACAGACTTTAAGAGATGACCTGAACAATAAAAATAACAATAGTAATAGTTAACGATCAACCTTTATACCAAAGAACACCGAGCCGTGCCATCCTTAATAAAACCCCCCGAAGACGAAAAATTTATTTCCAGTAGATAAATGACACAATTCTAGTGCACTGTATCAATATGGCGAGGGTTACATCAACACTCAACTGCACACCTGGACTAGACCATCAAGGTACCAGTCCAGTAAAAAGTAGAGCATATTTCCAATCCAGAGGTTTATGTATTTTATATGTGGAGTTCAACTCGCAAGTTTACTCTTTTTCAGAAAACTTTTTATCTCAAAATATTAATTTTCCCCTTAAAATCAATGATATTCACCAAAACATAAAACCCTGTTTCTGTATAAACTATTTCTTTGACATTTTTACCTTCTTTAGTTCCAACAAAAAGAACATCATACAAAGAACCATCAGGACCCATCACCTGGGCGTCAACATCAAGGCAAGTAAACCCTCCGGTCAACCCTGAAAAACACAATTTAAATAACCTTGACAAAAAAATTTGGCAGATAACAAATGGATTTCAAATATTGGGACCGGTTAGGTCTTAAAATTATGTAACTAACAACAATGTACTTTCTGTCATGCCTGTTTAATGTTTATCATCTAATTTTCTAAAAATATTAAACCTGAAAAATAAGAATTTGCACAACTAAAATAATACTGACAACGTCTTAGATAGAAAACATGTGGATTTCAATATTGGAGGTTTAAGGTCTCAAAATTTAAGGAGTTTTGGTCACCTCGAAGCAGAGTATTTCTTTGATTGGAACTTTTCCAAAACATTCCCCCAAAAAAATAAAAAACGGAGCTATCATCATATTTACTTTTTGTCTTAGCTTCTCGAATCTTAAAAACTTAGATAAAATAGCAACTATATTTAGGAAAGTATGGAACTGATCTAGATATCTGTTTGAATCAGCAAGGGTCCAGGAAAGTATGGAACTGATCTAAGTACCTGTTTGAATCAGCAAGGGTCCAGGAAAGTATGCAGGAACCGCATCATTCATCAAGGGATGTGTCTTGATAAAGTTCATGTTTGCATCGAGAAGATCAACCTTGCTGTTGTTGGTGCAAAAACCTATAATTAGTGAATTATTACTTGGGATTCCTATTTAGAAATAAAGCTTCTTTTAATTTCGAACAAAAAACATCATTGGACATTGTTGCTCACATAATCGTGTATCGCACAGTTTTTAAGGAAATTCCATTTTTGAACGTGTAACATTAACTTTAATACAACGGGGTTATCAAAAAAGGGTTTTTTGTGTGACGACCTGAAACTCCTTAAATATGACGATCTGAAAGAAACCAAAATATGACACAAAAAAAACAAGTTAAAATACAAGCAAAAAGATAAAAAAAATTCTTTACAGTCGTTATTTTTCTACAGGTAACCCTGTATAAGGATAGATGCTGCTGCTAGTGGTTAAAAGTATTTGTTTATTTCTTAATAAAATGCATTTATTGCATTTATTATTAGAAATAAGCAAACCGTAATTAAAAACCTGCTTCTTGGAACCTTGTATTTGATTTTAAACCACACAATCTTGTATATCAAAGATTTTTAACGGACTTTCAAAATAATTTCAAATAAAAATTAAACGAGTTAAATAGGCTTTCCTTATAAATCTTAAAAAGTAAATTTTCATGGCGACTAGTTCTTGAATGGCGACTTGTGGGTGCAACATAATTCGACATAATTTACACCTTTTAAAGACAGGAAAGCAACGATATATTTAATGTTGTTAACGTTAATGCGAAAAGGCCTTCCTACAAAATGCCGTTAAGAACAGAGCATTTAGCTCTTTGAATTGAAGGTAACTTAAAATGAGATCGACAGTCCATTTAATTATAAAAAGGGTTGGGAAAAATTACCTGGTCTCGGTTCAGGAACCTTATGTGGTTCTACAGCTAACCAGTTCTCACTGCTGCTGCGCTGCTCCTTGAACAGTCCAGCGAATGCCGCGTTCATGTCGTCAACGCTAAACGCGCACACAGCTGATCCTCCTGCATCACATGGTTAAACAAAGGAACTGTGAACTCGACACAAATTAGAATCTTCAGATCCCAATATATTTGCAACCTATTGTCGTTTACCTCTTATATTTCAAACATGTATGTTGCAAAGATATAGGAATCAGAAATTCAGAGTTTGGACAAGTGTTAAGTTTATGGTGTAAATTACAAAAAAAATAATTTTTAAACTTTGCTTGTCTGTTTGTTTGTATCCAATAAACGCCAAAACGGCGGAACCGATTGGGCCCAATTTTGTGTGGGACTTCATATGTCCCCACGGAAGTTTATAAATGATAAAAAATTTCAAATATTTGCCTCCAACAAAATTTGCATTAAATTCTGAAAATCCACGATTTTTTTTTAAATCCGCGAACTTTTTCATCTATTTACAATGTATACATAGAGACAATGTTCACAATTGAAAAAGAAGATGGGCGCGAAAAAGCCTAAAAAAGGGAGAATAATGAGAAATGAATTAAGGATCAAATAAATCAAAAATATTTCGACGGTACTGAAGGGAAATTCTATTTAACATTATTCGGGTTTAGTAGTTTCCTGGAAAAATGGTCTAGGATTTATAATGGACAAATTTTGCAAAAGTTTCGTTATATAACATAATATAATATTATTAAATACTTTAATGGAATTCTAAACATTTGAAATATCATCCAGATTTAATATAAATCTGATATTATCTAATATAAACCTGATCTAAAACTCAAGTGTAAAATCTTCAAGATAAGCCTGAAAGCATAATACTTTTGATTTTACTTAAAGCATGATAAATTTGTCTGATAAACATTTTTACTTTTTTCTAACTTATCACAACATTTTAAAGGGACTGTGAGAAAGTGTAATTTCAAGTGACCCTCCATCCAAAGATGGCAAATCCCGATTCACAACGCTACCCTTTAAACCTTTATCTGATCAATAATGTGGAAGATATTGTTGGGTCGTCAAGCTTCACGAGCGTTTATTTCTGATAATACATATGTTTTCCTACAGTAGAAATACGCAAATCACGTTTGTTGAGATCCCACAGAAAATTATCTGGTTTTTAGATTATAAATCAGATATCTACAAGTAATTCGCGCATTTCTACTGTAGGAAAAACATACGAATTATCTTGAATTGATATATAATTCATACTTAATACGACAAAGGTTTAATTCTTCTTCTCCAAACTTTTATTGAAAAAAACACAAAGTAAATATCTTTATAAAAAATCACAGGGTTAACAAGTGGCTTTCCGCTATATATATACTCTCTACTTGCTCAGAAATATATAAAATTGGATCTTAAGTATCGACAGCTCCGTTATGAAAGACATACATAGTATTGAGCAGCAATCTTGACACATTTAGACAGTGTTTAGTATCTCCGTTTTAAAGGAGAAGTGCAACAAAATAGCTAAATCTTGGATCTTAGAATCAAAAGGAAATAAGAAGATAAAATAAGAAGACAAAGGTTTAATGGTACCGTTGTTCATCGAGCATTGCCATCTTTGCATGGAGGGTTAATTAAAATTACGCTTACAGTCCCTTTAAGGAATTTAATTATTACACTTCTCTGTTTAATTTATAAATTTACTTTTTTCTTAAAATCATTTATTCAAATTATTTAGCCAACTTAAGAATATTAAATATTCATGGAACAGAGCTGTAGAAAAGTTGAAGTAAAAGTTTATATTTTATTTTAATTGTTTGCGAACTAAGCCAACTAAGTTAACTATTTCCAGGACTTAAATTAGGTCTAATAAATATCTTAATAGGTTTAAATTAAAAGAGAAACTTAGAATATTCTAAAACTTTTCTCGAAAAATAAAAATAAAAAACATCATTAAAACCATTATTTTTTGGTACAGGAGCTTAAAAAAAACTCAATATGAAGCGTAATAAAAAAGTTTATTTAGACAAACACAAAAAAAAAAAAAAAAGTTTGAAAGGAAGAGGAAACGTCTTATATGAGAGAAGAGTAAATGAATGAAAAGCTGAATGGATAACATATGCTAATATGGATCGATAAATAAATAAATGTATGGTAAATTGGAAATATGGAACGATAAATAAATAAATTAACTGTTAAAACGGAAATATGGAATGATTAATAAGTAAATGAACTGGCAGAATGGAAATATTGAACAATGAATAAATAAATAAACTGTTAAAACGTAAATATGGAATGAATAATAAGTAAATGAACTGGCAAAATGGAAATATTGAACAATGAATAAATAAATGAACTGTCAAAATGTAAATATGGAATGATAAACAAGTAAATGAACTGTTAAAATGTAAATATGGAATGATCAACAAGTAAATGAACTGGCAAAATGTAAATATGGGGAATGATAAACAAGTAAATGAACTGTTAAAATGTAAATATGGAATGATAAACAAGTAAATGAACTGTCAAAATGTAAATATGGAATGATAAACAAGTAAATGAACTGGCAAAATGTAAATATGGAATGACAAACAAGTAAATGAACTGGCAAAATGTAAATATGGAATGATAAACAAGTAAATGAACTGTCAAAATGTAAATATGGAATGATTAACAAGTAAATGAACTGGCAAAATGTAAATATGGAATGATAAACAAGTAAATGAACTGTCAAAATGTAAATATGGAATTATAACAAGTAAATGAACTGGCAAAATGTAAATATGGAACGATGAATAAATGATTAACAAAACAGTATGTTGGAATGAATAAATTAATGACCAAAATTGATGGGAAAATAACTGACTAATACATTAAAGTAAACAAAAATGAAAGTAAACCTAATATTTCTCACCTCGATAACTCTAGTAATATCTTGGATTTCATCAAAGTAGAATGGAAAATTCCCAGGAACTACAATTTATTTTTATTCGTTATCCAGCAAAAAAGGAGGATGAACTAAATAACCACTGGGGTTCTCTGCAGTGCCATGCAAATTTGTAAAAGACTCAACTGCCTTTAGTTTTTTTAATACATTTTTGGCTGATAGGTTTTAATATTATTAAAAATTTAATTCGATTTTATAGAATATTCAATATACAAATGAATTCATTAATCGCCACAAACTTTAATTTGCTTATCCCTTCCAATCTGATGGTGTACAGTGTACAGTGTACAGTGTACAGTGTACAGTGTACAGTGTACACTACACTATAATTGAAATAAGAGAATTGTTGGAAATACAAAAAGACATCAGGTTGCAAAAATTTTAGGAATAACAAATTTGAGTTTGAGACAAGAGTTAAGACCCTTTTGAAGAAAAAATTTTTAATCTGTAGAGTGCAAAAAAAATCATTTCTTTTTGCATATTGTGAGAAAGTTTAGAAAATCACTGTATACAACCTTTGTCCAGCGAACATGACTTGTTTGTGAATACAACATAATATTCAAATTTCAAATAGAGTTCAAATTACTTTAAGGCGATATTCAGAGGTATTTGAGCAACATTGTATTTTCTTTATCCCCTGCAGTATGGAAATTTCCCCGAAATAAAGTCAAATTAAATTTACTCAAATTATATCAAAAACTATAGGACGGGAGGAGGCGGCAGAAAAAATACATAAAAGGTAGAAAACAATTTAATTTTAATTTAAAAGCATTAACTAATATTTATATATACAGCTGTACTGCAGATTTTATTGTATGTACTTTCCATTGCTAACTATTTTAATAAATAATTTATTTACATTATGATATACAAGTTGTTATATTAGTTATATCAGGAAAGAAAATATTTTTTTTAATTTAATTGTTTCATGAAATATATTTAAACAGTATGCAACAATTTTATTTTTTTACATAATTGTGTAATTGTGTTCTAACTAGCACAACAAACTCACTTTATGCTTAAATTGGAGCTTTTTTACCTGCCTGAGTCATCAGATATTCTGTCTAAATGCCTTATTTTACATTGTCTCTTTTTTTGTTTTTGCACATTTTTTTGCTAAATAAGTTAATTTGAAAAAAAATTATTTTTTTTGGCGACAATTTCTTAAATGTTGTTTTTGTTTTCTACATATGTTATAATATTTTTTTGTTTAAATGAAATAAGTCATTCCAATTCTTTATTGACTAACGTCCTTTCAGCAAAAGTTATGTATAAGCTTCCAAAATCTTTTTTAAAAAATGGCACTTCTAACTTGCTATTATCTAGAGTAGCTTTTGTGAATTCTTTTTCTTCATTATGAAAAAAGTTGCATGCTAGGCTATCAGTAGAGATTAAGTTCAGCTAAAATATAAATTTAAACATTTCTAGTTCCAAGTAGGGAAAAGCACGAAACTTTTCCCCATGAGTCATTTTTTTGTCAACCTTCAAATAATAAAATAAACCAGCATAGCTTTAGATAAGAATATTTTAAACGTGAAAGTGATTTTGACATTTCCCCAAGTTTTTATTAATTAACTAAACTGTGTTCTCAATTAAAATGATTTTCCCCACTTTGAAAAAAAAAATTATTAAATTCTATAATTTAACTAAATCTTAAAAAAAACATTTTCAAACGCTGAAAATAAGAAGTTAAGTATCCAATTAGTTCCCTTCATAAAAATGTCTAATTGGATTTGGACAGAAAAAGTTTTTAAGCGTGTAAGGGGGGGGGGAGTCTACCGGGTACTGTGAAATGAATAATTTCCTGAGCAGTTAAGTCTAGCTTTGATAAAACTTGTCCACTTATCATTGAGTGATCTTGTTCCTCCTTTATCATTCTTACACACCCTTGCTACACGGCTATACACACTCTTTCCACAGTTCATGTACTCTACAGCACCTAAACAGTACATTAGTTAGTAAATACATTGTTTATGTACTTAATAGCTCATAAACAGTGCATTATTAGTACACAAGTGTATGTAATCTACAGCATCTAAACAGTACATTAGTTAGTACATACATTGTTTATGTACTTACTAGCTCATAAACAGTGCATTATTAGTACATAAGTGTATGTACTCTACAGCACCTAAACAGTACATTAGTTAGTACATACATTGTTTATGTACTCTACAACACCTGAACAGTACATTAGTTAGTACATACATTGTTTATGTACTCTACAGCTCCTAAACAGTACGTTAGTTAGTACATACATTGTTTATGTACTCAATTGCTCATGAACAGTGCATTATTAGTACATAAGTGTATTTACTCAACAGCACCTGAACATTAGATTAGTTAGTACATTCATAGTTTATGTACTTATCAGCACCTAAACAGTATATTAGTTAGTACATACATAGTTTATGAACTTAACAGCTCCTGAACAGTTTCTAATAATATGTACATTGTATATTAATGTGTGATCAGCTTTTTAGAAAAAACGTCAGCAGGAGATAACACAAATTGACTTTTTAATTTTAAATTGCAAATATAAAATAAAAATAAATAAAAAAGTACATTACACGTTCATACCAAAGAATATGATATGCAGTTTGCGCCTCCAAATTGTTCTCATAGGCATTAGGTATATATAATATATTATATACAAAGTAACATTTTTGAAACTATTTTCTTAAAATATTTTAAAGAGGCCGAATTCAAAGCGTGAATGGTCTTGTAGTTTTCTAGTATCCCGAAATAAAAAGGTTTAAAAGCTAACGCTTGTTTCTTACTTCAATATTTAGTATTTTAACCCAAAACCGACTAATGGGACAGATTGTGCTGGGTATCAAATAATAATAAATGCTCTTTGGTCTGAAATATATAAATTGTTTAAACCTAAAAAATATTCAAGTGTTGGAAATGTAATTATAAATACATATTTTAGAATTATGAATGAATAAATAATACATTTTGCATTGTGTGCAGTAAAATGTGTTTATGTTCTATTTCTACGAAAGTAACAACACTTGGATTCAAAAATATTATTTCTTCTATTTTAATTGATTTTCTAAGCTTAGGATATAGTTCTCTTTTTTAAAGGGGGGGGGGGG